GAGGGGCAAAACATCTGGCTTCGAAACTCTGCTGCTCCAAAGAAAAGTACCACACCTACTTCACATCGATGGGGACTTGTGTCACCATATCCACAACTGCATCAAATTGTTTTGTTCTCACTTTGAGCACAGAGTTGAACATCTATGTAATGATCTGCATGGGGACATGAAGTGGTCTCCAGATTTGAAGGCTTTACTTCAGGAATTATGTAGTATCTTTGGCATCACATTCCATACTCCAAAGGAACGAGTACCACACAACTGGCTGTCTGTCCTTGATACATCTAGTGATATTGTTCTTATGTTTCCAGCCATTTTATGCATGTATTTTGCATATGTGCCTAAGGATGAGCAAGAGCTGTACAAGGACTTCATCAAGACATCCCATCTGCCTGAATCAACCAAATCTAGGCTGAAAGAAATCAGAAGATTGTGCAAGGCAAAGTTCAAGACTCCAACAGCAGCAGGAAAAGAAAGGAAGACCAGAATCATGAAAATGCTGTTCCATAAACACAATCAAACAATGGCCTCCCTCTACCTGTACAGTGATGTCTTGCCAGTGTTCAAGTCTTGTGTATTGCTGTTCCAGCAGTCCAGCCCCATGATACACAGAATCCATGCTGAAATCACCAGTCTTGTCAGAACATTTCTGTCAGGTTTCTGTTGCCATGAGACGATTAAAGATGCATCCCCATTAAGGAGTTGCAGACAGTGAAGCTGTTGGAATGTCTTCGTCCACTGTCAGAGTTCTACATTGGTCGGAGTGCGAGAAAATGCATTGCTCACCTGCCAAAATCTCTTGGAAATGAGTTCATCCTGAAAGTGAAAGAAGCATGTGTAACAACAGAAGAATATCTGCTGAAAAAGATGCCCATTAGTAATCGCCTCCTGCATAGCCTTTCTGCACTAGATCCTAAAGCTATGGGATCTTCTGTCACATACTCGGTGCTGAAGAGACTTCCTTTGCACTTAGCATCTGTGTTTCATAATGATAGTGACAGAGATCAGTATGAGCAAGAAGTATCAAGACTGCAGCTGGATAAAACCCTGCCACCTGTGGAAATTGATGGACATACAACAGAACTGGATAAATGGCGGGGTGAAGAACTGGCAACAAAGAAATATCCCTGCCTTGGAAGGGTCGTCAAGTGTGCACTCAGCATTTTCACAGCACCTAAAGTTGAGCAGTCCTTCAGTGTGATGAACCACTTGGTAAATGCAAAAACCAATCGCTTGAATGTGTCAACATATCATGCTTATCAGACTGTCAAGTATGATCTGAAAGCGAAAGGAACAACACCACTCCACTTGTACAAGTGACCAGACATACAAAAGAGCCCTGTGGATCATAGCCTTTGCTACCACATGCAAACAGCTTCGTGGAGAAAAAAGCAAAACAGAGAAAAGGAGCCAAGGGTACAGGTTCAGAGCACAGGACAGTGACAGCAATGGCAACAGCAAAGACAACACAAATCTCATCAAGTGTCAAGAATTGCAAAAAAGCACCTGTATCTAGCCTTAAGGGAAAAAGAAAACTCAGCACGCACTACAGGGCACAAAAAATTTGGAAAGCTATGTACTCAAACAGGGCAGGAATAATAAAAGCCAGTACTGGAGATCAAAGACGCCACCAGTGAAGGTAAACAAGTACATTTGTGAACACATGCATCATTTAGAAGTTTCAAATACATTTCTTTGTTTTATTGTGTCCCCTGAAAGGCCTTCTTCTTAGATTCATGTATCCTCTGCTTATCACTTGTTTAAAGCATAGACAGTCATTTTCTGATTTTTTTTTTGCATAGGCTAGTGGCAACTCTGATACTAGCATTATCCAAGGGCTGTATGGAGGGTTAGGCGCAGCTGACTATAAAAGGCCCACGCTTTTTATTACGCAGTTGAATTTTTTCCTACAAATGGCTGCTTTATGAAAGTG